AGAAAGAAAAAGGGGGAATCTATGGTGTGACTGCATTTTTTGAGTCCTGTGTACAATTCTTGAAATAAGGGGCTGCAAGATTGAATGAGACATATTGTTGTTGTTGTTGTTTAGTCGTTTAGTCGTGTCCGACTCTTCGTGACCCCATGGACCAGAGCATGCCAGGCACTCCTGTCCTCCACCGCCTCCCGCAGCTTGGTCAAACTCATGCTGGTAGCCTCGAGAACACTGTCCAACCATCTTGCCCTCTGTCGTCCCCTTCTCCTTGTGTCCTCAATCTTTCCCAACATCAGGGTCTTTTCCAGGGAGTCTTCTCTTCTCATGAGGTGACCAAAGTATTGGAGCCTCAGCTTCACGATCTGTCCTTCCAGTGAGCACTCAGGGCTGATTTCCTTATGAGACATACACTGGAGAAAATTGAAGACTTTGGGTGTGGCTGGGAGCAGAAATGTTGCAGGGTTATAAAATAAGGTGCACTGCATCATAGGCTTTGTAGTATTATGCCTGTATGAGTCGCTTATCATTCTGGAATAAAAATGTTACATTAATGGGGATGAAAGGCGTCCAGCACCAGTGGGTTGGCCAACAATTCATTATCATCTTTTCCCCGAGTCACCTTTGTTCTCCAGGCCTTTCGTAAAACATTTATCTGGTATGCTGAATCCTTCTTCCAAATGTCCCAAAGTACCAAGGTAATAGGGAAATAGTTTGACTTTCGCATGGGGGCAGGCAGGGCTTAAGTGACAGGTGTTTAAGAAAATGATGGTGGTATGAGCACCAGGTAAAATGGCCCCAGAGAGGCACCACCCCTGGTGTTCTCAACCCAAAGCTCTAACTCACTCGTTCCTGAAAATTCAAAAATCTAATGTGGCAAGGAAGCCCTGTTGTCACTTAGAAGTTAATAAAATGATGATAATGAAAAAGACCACCAGATCCTTAGGACAAGAGTCTGCACAACAGTGTCTGTGAAGCAAACCATTCATCACTGTCAAAGTCCTCTGCAGCCCCAAACCAATTCCAAAACCAAATGAAGAGAGGATCCAGCTGTACCTTCAGAGCATAATCTCCCTGTCATTTCAGATACACATATATTCCATCAAGGGTGCTTGGGCTTCCTCTGAGCTGGAGTCCTTTATGGAAGAAATTCTGTCCAGAACCACTCCATCCAAGGCTAATCTTCTAATTTGAGGGATTCCTTGTGCCAGGGAGAATGTTGAGTCCCTCGTGTCTTTAGTGTGGCTTGCAATCTTCTTTCAACCTATCTTTTAAGGGGAAATGAAACAGCAGCATGCTTTAAGATCAAAACTCTTTTCCCAGTGACATGACTCTCCAGTGTCTGCTTTGGTTATCTTGCATATTACAGTAAGCTATTACGGGCACTTATAGCAAGCATTTGTTCACTTGGGGTGCTGGTCAGGACTCCTTGAGCTCCATGGTCACCATACACACTCTTACAACATTTTGTAGGCGATAATCTGTAGAGCAAGAAAGATTGTCTGTCAATATTGATCTTCTCATTGAAGGCTCCTGCATGAGATGTTGAGGAACTTAGGATACTCTGGGGCACAGTTTGAAAACTTCTGCACCAGAGCAGTGAAACCCAATTAAATAATGAAGTTCCTCCTTGACCAGATGTTGCATCAACTTTGCCATGGACCTGCTGCTTTTGTTGACTCCATTTCTGTCCACCATGTTTCCTTGTGATGTTGGTTATATGCTTCTTAACAGAAGGAAATGGGTGAAAAGACCCAGAATGCTGGGAAGTAGCACAAGGAGCAAAGAAAGGTGTTGCGGGAAATTACAACCAAATGAGAAGAAATAAAGGCAGGGGAAGGGCCATAGCTCAGTGGCAGAGCATCTGCTTTGCTTGCAGAAGGTCTCAGGTTCAATCCCTGGTATCTCCAGGTAGGTCTGGAGAAGATCCTGCTTGAAACCAGAGGGAGTCATAGCCAGTCAGTGTAAACAGTATGGAGCTAGATGGATCAATGATCTAACAGCTTTTTCAGCTTGAGAGACACATGCCTTTGTGGACAACCTTGCAGGGGCTCCTGCTAGGGGTGGATGGGGCCAGAGGCAAAAGTGGACAGAGCAACTAGTATGGCCTTTGCCACGGTAAAGTCAGCTACCTTCCAGCCATGCAAAAGCCCAACAGTTCTACATCTTCCTCCCAGATGGACATCTCTCCATCCATGCAAGCCAAGAAGCATAATCACACTTCACAGACATATTCCAGTGAAGAGGGCCCAGTGAGAGCTGTGGGCTTAGGAGAAAGAACATTAGCTAGACAGAACCCTGAGGGCCAGAAAGGGAGGTCTGGAGGGCCACATTTTGAGTTTTTGCACCTCTGCCTAAGGATCAGGGCTCTGACTGGTGACAATGTTGCTTTTTCCAGTGGGGACTCCAGTCCTCTCCTTCTGTGACAGCAGGAGTGGGACTAATTTCATTTCACTTAAGGCGTTCATTCAGCAAATCCCTTTCACCATGTAAAATCCATCACAGCCTCCTGATTAATTCTTCCAAGCGCAGACACTTACTCCAGGCCTAATCCTCCTCTGCTATTGTATCTCCCCACTGCTGATTCTCTTCATCTGCTTAACAAATTCTCTGCTTTTTGAATAGAACATCCAAAGCTGAGCATGTCAGGCATTAAAGTGAAACCATCTCCCAGCAGCTGGGCTGCCTTCTTCTCTGGTGGCCTGGTTTCTCCCAGATTTTGAGGCATTCTCAGTAGAATGGTATAAAATTATGGAATCCTTGAGTTAAAAGTGACTTTGAAGGTTGTCACCATCAGCTGCTTGCTTAATGCAGGAATCTCATCATTACAGCACTCCCCATAGGTGACCATCCCGTCTTTGCCTAAATATCCTACCTGAAGGAGATGCCACCAGCTCCTGAGGCTCTTGCCATTAAATGACTCTTGTTAATTCAAAGAGGGGGTGGACCTATCATTTTCAGTTCTCATTTTTCCAATCTTAAATTTGGCTCTCCACATTTCTCCAACAATTTGTGTTCTTTTCCCCCCAAGGAAATCTTCATGAGAATTCATCATCATTTTAGGGTGAATTTCTCCAAACACATTTTTGTATGCACTTTTCACCAGTGTACATATTTTTGCAAGCCATTTGCCCCAATGCAGTGCCTAGAAGTATAGTGTCAATATCAAAGGAAGTAAGAGCACCACTTTGATCTGCCTTGGACAGACTCCACCTGGGAAGTCCTGTATCCAGTTCTGGGCACCGCAGTTGAGAAAGGATATTAGCAAAGTGGAATCTGTGCAGAGGAGGGCAACCAAGATGTTTAAGGATCTGAAAACCAAGCCTTATGAGGAATGGCCGAAGGAGTTGGGTATGTTTAGCCTGGAGAAGAGAAGAGGTAATATGATAGCTATCTTCAAATACCTGAAGGTTTGTCACATGGAAGTTTGTTTTCTGTTGCTCCAGAGGGTAGGACTCAAACCAATGGATTCAAATTACAAGAAAGGAGATTAGGAAGACCTTTGTTGTGGTAGGAGCTGTTTGACAGGTGAGCAAACTACCTCAAAAGGTGTGGACTCTCCTTTGTTGCAGGTTTTTAAATGGAGGTTGGGTGGCCATCTGCCATGGGTCCTTTAGCTGTGATTTCTGCACTGCATGGTGTTGGTCTCAATGACCCTCGGGATCCATTCCAACTCTACAATCCTATGATTCTATGCTTAATTTTTGTAGGTTTTTTTACTAATAGATGCATTTTTTGCACGCATGCACACACACACAACATTGGCTGGTTAGATAATTGCATCGCAAAATTCAGGAAAGTGTGAATTTCATAGGCTGTCTGTGCTTTGGTTTTCATGTTATTTAGGAGTGTGATTTTAATAGATTCAGCATTAAATACAAACTGAATCAAATTTCTCCCCCATAATCCCTACCAGGATGTTTCTCCTCATGTTTTGCTGAAATAGGCTTCTTGCAATTTCCACCGATCAGTTCTACCTCTGCTCTCTGGAGGAGCAGAGAACAAGTCTGCTGTGACAGCCCTTCAGGTATTGGAAGACTGCTAACATACCTCCCCTTAATCTTCTCTTCTCCAGGATAAACACACACAGCTCTTTCAGCCGTTCCTTGTAAGACATGCTGTAATATAATGCAGCATGGCTATATTCCCCACTCACCCCAAAGTCCACAAGGAATGAGCCACTAACTGGACTGGGCATCTCTACGTTTCAAGGCACAGGTAGACAAGGCACAGGGCCCTGGCATCACTCAGTTGGTAGAGCATGAGACTCTTAATCTCAGGGTTGTGGGTTCAAGTCCCATGTTGGGTAAAGGATTCCTGCATTGCAGGGGGTTGGACTACATGACCATTGTTGTCCCTTCCAACCCTACTATTCTATGATAATTCTACTATGTCAGCAGCAGCCAGTGGGATCTTCATTTTCAAACATTTCTCCAGCTGGGAAAGAGGAGGACAGATGCTCTTCTACCCCAGCAGGGAGACATTGCACTCTTCCAAACTCACCAAACTGTTGTTTGGAGAGTTGAGATGGGTACAAAGGTGGTAGGGGGTGACTTTCCCATGAGTACCTTACTCCCCGTTACAGTCACACTGCTTTATGGGGAACCTGATTAACATGGGGAGGTGATTGCATGGGGATGTCTCTCCCTGTACAAATTCCTCCCCATCAAAATCGCTCTCCCCAGCCTATACAAACAGCTGTTTTGTAGGGTCAGCATAAGGCAGCTTCCTATGTTCCCATTTAATTCAGCCCTTTACCCAGCAGCATGAGGACTAGAACCTTACCCCCCTTTTTAGATGAAGGACAATAGGCCAGTCATAGAGCATATGTTTTGCATGCCAAAGATCCCTGGTTGTATCCTTGGCATCTCCAGGTTGGGCTGGGAGGGGCCTCTGGCTGAAACACTGGAGTGCTGCTGCTGCCTCTCAGTATAGAATCACAGAATTGTAGATTTGGAAGGGACCCCATGGGTCATCTAGTCCAACCCCTGCAATGCAGGAATCTTTTGCCCAATGCGGGGCTCAAACCCACGGCCCAGAGGTTAAGAGTCTCATGCTCTACCGACTGAGCTATTATGCAGGTATTGATAGGACTGTTCAAGGTGGACCAATGGTCTGATTCAAGATGGATCATTCTTATGAGGGGTTTGTGTTGGAACCTCTAACTTTGTGCGGGTGAAATGCAGCATATTGTACAGAGTAAAGAGTTGCATGCTTTGTTCTACGCACTTTTCCCATGCCCCTTCACACACCACTGGCATCTGCTTCCCACGAGAAAATGGGGCCTCCAGGCTGAAAAGCGTTTCCCACCCTGATTTAGCTCCATCCCTAGTAGTCTTTTGCCACCATTTGAAAACTTTTTGTTTTATTACAGACACCTTTGGCCTGGAATCTTCTATTTCATTTTCTTTATCTTCTCCAGGATGTGTGGCTGATGGTGCCAAACCTTGCAAATATAATCCCTGTTAAAATGGGTTGCCAACCACGAATGTTCTGAGCATAGGGGGGAATGTTTACCATACGATTAAACTCTTGTGGGTATAAGGATCGGTCGACCCTTCTATTACCAGAGCAGCCAGTGATGTCACACAGACCTCTATGATGTGGTAACCTGACACGTTAATGGTCTCTCAGGTATTGATCCTGCAAATTGGCCCTCAGGTTCCTCATGACATTAAAGGATGGCTTCCCGAAGAACCTGTGTCAGGTGAGACAAAATGCACTGCGCTTTGAACAAATTAAAATTGATCTTGGCTTGCTTGTTTTATCTGCTGTGGATTCTAATTCAGCTGGGGAGACATGTCAGTGGAATCGGGGTGGCCGTAAGGACACCAAATCTAATTAAGAACATCGGCAAAGGGGTTTTGTTTCTGGGCTTCATCCCATTGCTGCTGTGGGGACCCCATCCATCATCTTAGATCATGAGGCTGGATGTGGCAGGCAGAGGGAGCATCAGACTGAGGAAAGCACAGACCCATGGCATTATCCTCTGAGCTCTTTTCTGTGTAATTAGAATAATAATTATTTCAGTCTGGAGCTGTGCTTGATAAAAAAAAAATCCTCCAAGGACTTTGGTCAAACTGTGGTTGTGGTTGTTTGTGTGTGAATTTTTAGAAACCTCCCAATTTGTGATTTTTAACTGGATAATGAGTTTGGACTCATCATGTCCAAAATCAGGGGAATTCATGCTAAAGTCACATTTTGGTCCACTATCTTGAATCAAAAAGGCATCCAGCATCTGCATACTGATAAAAACTGCTTCCCCCCATCTCGGAAATCCATGCGCTGAGTTTGGCAACAATATCTTGAGAGGTGGCCAAACCGATCCAAAAAATGGGCAAACTTGTACCAAATTCATATTTAGTCTGTCATCTTGATTCAAATGGCACTTGGTGGCCCAACATTAATTTTTAAAGCCCCACCCCAACTTTGGGAACCCTTGCTTTGAATTTGGTGATGATGTGTCAACAGGCAGCCAAACCTATAGACAGCAGGTAGACAGACAAATCACTTTCAAAAATATCCAATAGATGCATTTCTCCCTTGGTCTTCAACTTGGGTGTTTTCATCTTGCCCACATGAACCTGATCAACATTCCTCTCCTATTGTTTTTGGGACTGTTTCCCAAAACAGCTTTCCCCAACCTTGTTCCCTCTGGATGTTTTTGATTAATACTCCATCACTCCGTCACTACTACTCCATCACCCCTGACTAAGCTGGCTGGAGTCTGACTACATCTGGAGAGCCACAGGTTAGTTCCAGGCAAGGTGGTGAGTAGGTGGAGCAGAGTCTTCTCCCTCCCAGATTAAAAATCTGGGTTGGAGAAAAACTTGGGGTGTGTGGTGGCACTAAGTGCATTGCTCACCTTATATTTCAGGTGAGCATCATGTTACTACAACCATCAGTGGGATCTTAGACAGGACTCTTGCTCCACAGGGTTTAATCCGGCACTGCCCATCAGCCCCAGACAGTATGGCCAATTGTGAGGGATGACAGGAGTCACAGTCCAAGGCATCTAGAGGACATAAGGTTGGGGAAGGATGCCTGACTCTCAGCCCAGATGATACAGGAGGTAAATAACCCTTTCCTGATCATTGTCCAGAAGCCTGACATTAGATGGCTATTTTGTTGAATAAATACCAGATATCATGCCAGGCTGTTCATTTCCCTGCCTTCTCCCCTGTGTTTGATGTCTTGTCCTGCAAATACCACCACCTGATCTTGACATACACTTCCCCCTTTTAAAAGCAAACTTCCCATCCAAAAACGTTTCATTTGCTCCCTACATTTACTTTGATCTCTTCCCTGAATGTTTAATCTCTTCTCATTGTATTACGGGCTTGTAATCCTGTTTTACATCCTGCTATCTATTTCCAAATTTTTTGTATAAATTTGCTATTCAACGTGACATTTACACAGCACTAAGGCAGTGCTGTCGTATTTACAAGAGAAAGAGCTACAGTGGAAAATCAACACCAAAGACAAAATTGCTGTTTGGGGGCGAGGAAGCCTGCCATAACTTTGTTTAATTTTTAAGACCCTTTGGATGGGAACAACTCTCTCTCTCTCTTTCTCTCTTTAGAAAAAAAATAATATCTTTCATTATTTCTCCTGTGAGCAATCAGGACAACCACCAGAAGGATGCAAATGTATTTGTTTTGCTTTGGTTGCTGTGAAAAGAGTCAGAGGAGGGAAAGCACACTGTCAAATGCAGCATGCATTAAAAGAGAAAACACAGCACCATCCCAAATGGTTGAAGAAGGGCTGTGGCTCAGTGATAAATCGTATGCTTTGCACACACAACCGAGTAATGTAGGCAGTTGCCTTATACTGAATCAGTCCTTTGGTCCATCTAGCCCAGTATTGTCCACACTGACTAGCAGCCGCTCTCCAGGATTTCAAGTAGGGGTCTTTCCTAGCTCTGAGATGCCATTGGAGATTGAGCTTGGGAACTTCTGCAGGCATAGAAGATGCTCCAGCACTGAAGTATAGCTTTTTCCTAAAGACTTAAAGCCATAGGTAAAGGTAAAGGGACCCCTGACCATTAGGTCCAGTCGTGACCGACTCTGGGGTTGCAGTGCTCATCTCGCTTTACTGGCTGAGGGAGCCGGCGTATAGCTTCCAGGTCATGTGGCCAGCATGGCTAAGCCGCTTCTGGTGAACCAGAGCAGCGCATGGAAATGCTGTTTACCTTCCTGCCGGAGCCGTACCTATTTATCTACTTGCACTTTGATGTGCTTTCGAACTGCTATGTTGGCAGGAGCAGGGACTGAGCAACGGGAGCTCACCCTGTTGCGGGGATTCAAACCGCCGACCTTCTGATCGGCAAGCCCTAGGCTCTGTGGTTTAACCCATAGGAAGCTATTTTACACTGAGTCAGATCATTGTCCCATCAAATTTAGTATTGACAATACTGACTGGCTGCCTTTCTCCAGGATTTCCTGTGGGGTTTCTTTGTACCTGGAGATGCCAGGGATTCAACTGGGACCTTGCAAAGCAGATGCTCTATTATTGAGCCATGTCCATGTCCCTAAATTTGACCCCCGGAATTCCTCATGAAAGAATCTCATTCTCTCCAGGCTATAATCCTGATCTGCCTTGCTCCACACCCTCCTCAAGTGCTTTTTCCTGACTGGAATGTGTCATTGGAACTATGTTGATGTCTCTTACTCACCCGGGTGGAAAGATGCACATATATGTGTAGAAACCTTGGCAACTTTTGGGTAGCCAGAGCAGGGGGAGGAGGTTGGGCTCACCCCCCCCCACAAATTGTGGGTGCCTGGGCCCCCAGGGCCCCTAGGAGTTGGTGCCAGTGATCCTGGCTGTCCTTTGAGTACTTCTAGACAAGAAGAGGCTTCCTGTTCAGCCTGAGAGTCTGACTGGGCAGCAACAAGGCTTCTTGGCTCTGTTGTGTTCTGGTCTGCTCCTTGGAATCATCGGTTGTCTTGATCTCCACTAGAGTAGAAGTGGGGTAGGGATAAAAACACCTTAGGCCCAGGGGCAACATGTGGCCCTGCGGGTCTCTTTATCTGGCCCTTGGAACTGTCCTAAGGCCACAGCTCTTACCGACTTTGCTTTGCACTCCATGTGTTTTGTGTGGCTGAACTGCATCCTAATAATGTCTTCTGCTTTCCTGGAGGAAGAATAGAGAGGGGTTTGTGAAGGTATAGAAACTAGCCTACCATGCAAAGGTAAAATTTATACCAATTGCTCCACCCATTTTTTTGCTTCTGGAATAGGATGTGGTCCTTAGGATGGAAAAGGTTCTGCACAATTCTTGGCTCCTGGTTGCATTCTGACAGCTGCCTATAACTCCACCCTGACAATCATCCCCTGTGATGTAGAGGCACAATGAAGCTTAGTGCATAAATGCTATGGACTTGACCATCTGCCTGTGCTCATCAATGGAGCAGTACCTTCTGCTTGGTTTGCAATAGGCTCCTGTCCAAGTCCTACCTCTGGCTCCAACTCCGGCAGATTACTGCACGGATTTTGGAGTAGAGACCAGGTACTCCATCTTTAAATTGGGTCTGCCTGCCTCTGACCCTCCCTTTTGCCACTGCACACCAAATGTGGTTGCATTCTTCAGGCTCTCCGGGTTTATGGACAGGGTTAAATACTTTTAGAGGCTTGCTGAATGACAACATGGAAACAAATAATCCCCAACCTTCACTTTGCTCCTTCCAACAACCCCATCAAGCAGCCACTACTCAATGAGCAGATTAATGCATTCAGATGGTGGCATAATGGAGAGGAAATTCAGTGTCTAAATGAACGGATTGTGCAGGACTATAAAGATGAGTTATGGCATCTCCTCTTTGAAAACTCCTTTTAGCTTAAAAAATATTGCTCCTAGCTAAAAGGGGGGTGGGGAGGAAAAGCGGAAGTATATAGATTTCACAGGCTAGCCTGTGAGCACGCACCCAACACAACTGTCGGGGCTGAAATTGCTTCATATATCATCGGCCAACACCAAGTAGATAATGGGAAACAAGTTCTGATCTGGGAGAGATTATGGTTGCTGATTTGGAGCAATGATGGACAGAGCAGAGCATCTGCAGTGTGGTCCTCTTAAACCAGGTTGACCTCACATGGCGGAGATTAACAATCAGTTTGCATTGACCAGCTCAAATGAGGTGTCATCATGATGGAGAAGCCATCAGAGGAGTCAATCATCTTTATCTCTCATTCTCTTTCAAACTAGATTGTCTCCTCCTCGGCTTCTTTTGCTGGAGGTATGTGTGAGTGGTTTAAAAAGAAAAAGACAAAAAAACTCCTTTGCCTTGCTGTCAGAACATGAACTGCATAGAAAATTACCCCTCCCTGTGTTGGAAAATCTGTGTTCAGATGAGTTATCAAAATGCAGACGCTAGAAGAAATGGGAAGGAAAATTGTGGGGGGGGGGGGAAGGAAGGATATGATTGGCTAATTTATTTTAATGTCAGCTTGCTCTTCTCCACCTAATCTGATGTGATATTCAAACATTGTGGTAATTTTCCATTGTATGGAGGACTTTATTATCTTGGGGGGGGGGTGTAGTCACTGTTTTTATTTTGCTCATGCAAGGGGGGGGGGGAAGTTGCCAGTGCAGATTTACAAGAAGAAGAAGAAGAAGAAGAAGAAGAAGAAGAAGAAGAAGAAGAAGAAGAAGAAACAACACCCATCCTTGGTATTAATCTATCTGTATTAGATATCTATCTATCTAATCTATCTATCAGGGGTTTTAAGAGCTGAAGTCTGCTGAAGAGTGGTTAGTAACTATGAGTGATTTCAGATGGCTCACAAAGTTGTCTTTAAGACCCTCCATTCTTCATGCAGGCAAAATATTCAGCTGCTTTCCTTTCAGACTTACATTTGGGGGGGGGGTACAGTGAACCTCTTCATTGATTTTTTAAAAGAGAATAAATTAAAGCTCTAGCAAAGTGAGTAGAACAGCTAATAATAATAATAATAATAATAATAATAATAATAATAATATATTTCTACCCCGCCAATATGGCTGGGTTTCCCCAGCCACTCTGAGCAGCTTCTATCAGAAGATTAAAAATACATTAAAACATCAGTCATTAAAAACTTCCCTAAACAAGGCTGCCTTCAGATGTCTTCTAAAAGTCAGGTAGTTGTTTATTTCCTTGACATCTGATGAGAGGGTGTTTCACAGGGCAGGTGCCACAGCTGAGAAGGCCCTCTGCCTAGTTCCCTGTAACTTGGCTTCTCGCAGTGAGGGAACCACCAGAAGGCCCTTGGCACTGGACCTCAGAATAAAGGTGTTGGGGAGGGGAAGGGGAAAATACAGAAAGCAAATAAGTGAGACCATTCAGTGGGGTTGCCATATTTTGAAGAGCAAAAAAAGGGACACATTTGCCGACTTCTAGTTTTAACTATGGATCACTATGACGACTCTCATTTTTATATACCCATGAAAATGAGGACGTGTCCTGAAAAAAGAGGACATATGGCGACCCTACCATTCAGTAAAATTGTTAATTGAATCATCTGGCATTATCTGTGTGGATTGAAATTCCTCCCTGCAAGTATTTAGGGTTGGAAACCATTTTTTATAAATAAAATAAAAGTCAAGATTCTAAGGATGGTAAGTTGTGCAGATTTAATGTGCTCACAGATGACATAAAAGCACACTCAACTTCGATAGTCATTAGGAAATGCAAGGGGCCTCTGGAAGTGTCATGCTAAAGGGTTGCTGCAGATATCCCTGCAAAAACAAACATGGACATACATAAGACTATGCAGTGGATTACTCTACATGGGTTTGCCTTTGAAGACGATTCTGAAATTTCAGCTGGCTCAGAACTTTCAGCATTTCTTTATTTTGTTCACGAATCACTTTCCATAAAACATCCCCAAGCAATTTCACAATGGAAACATCAACAATGAAAGCATTTAGAAAGACAATTCCTAGGCCAATGAAGATAAAGACTGGGATAAATATATCCACTTAAAAGGCTGGTTGGAAGAGGAAAGTCTTCAACAGTCTCTCAAGAGACCACAAAGATAGTGCCTCTATGATATATAATGTAATGGAGTTCCAATGGGTGAATTAGTAAGAAATTAAATATATATGGATGAGACAATGTTTTAGCCAATGTTCATTGGCTACTGGTTCATTTTGGGTCACAGTTCAAAGTGCTAGTTTTGACTTATGAAGCCTTAAACAATTTTGAGGTAGGTTACCTGAAGAATTTTCAACTCCCGTGCAAACCTGAGAGAAATTTTGAGATGTTTGAGAAAGGGACTTCTCTCCACCCAACAATTATCCTATGTGCTTCTCAGTAGCCTGGACAAAGTATTGAAACAACTGGAGCAATTATCCAAGGAAGCTCTTCTTATCTCTCTATCTCAGGGGTGGGGAACTTTCAACCTATGAGCCTAACTAGGTCTAGACAAGCTTTAATTTTTGTGAGCCACCTCCAGTCCTGGTTCTCGGGGAAAGGCAGGAAATGAATGAATGAATGAATGAATGAATACAAACACATCATCAACAAACCCTGTTCCTTTGCCTGTATAGTTTTATTTCAAACCACCTGAGAAAAGGAAGTGAGCTATTTAAAGGTGCCACCAATCAGCTTATCGCCAACACTTGAAATCACCTGTGCATGTGCCCATGCAGTTTGAAACACAAGCGAAGAAAAATGTCTCAACTGATGCCACGGCAACGTCAGACTGCCCACTTGTCAAAATGGTTTACAAGGCCTGTTGGAGGTCAGGATCTGGTCTACTGGTCAGATCCAGTTCCTCATTCCTGCCATATTTGTCAGCAAGTAAAAAGTGCTTTTTTTATTATTATTTAGACAGGCCTGTGGCCTGTGAGTTTATCTGAAGTCGTTGTTGCTCATTTTGATAAGATTTAATTGGTTGTTCTTTTTACTGACTTGGATTTATTGCTGGTCTATCTTTCTATCTGTGCTAGATATGTAATGGGAACATTGTGTACTTGTGTCAGATCTAGTCACTTTTGTTCTCTCTTTCTCCTTAAGGATGGGTGGAAGTGGAAACCATGACTGCTCAAAATATGGTGCTGATAGACAGCTCTTACCTCAGCTTTTGTTTTTTTAATCAGAGAATTCTGACTGGTGCTGATGGACAGCTCTTCATAACCCGCTGTTATCCTGCTAGAAAGAAGACACAAATCCCAGCAAACCAATACAAACCAGGCAAAGACATTTTACTCCCCTCCTTTGCAACTAGATCTGGAGGATTTAATTAAGTGACTGTTACTAGCTAGAGCTGGCACTCGTGGCCCAGGAAATCCAATACGTCAAGAGTTGACTCACCAAAGTAGCAGAGAGGGCCTCACCATTCCAAATCTGAACCAGAGGCCAAAACTGGATAAACAAGGGTGTGGGCAGAACAGGGAAAAGGTACAGACACATCCCCCCAAGCAAGAGATGAGCATGTTCACTGCAGAAATACTAGACAGATGGAAGATAGTTGGGTTTGGATTGATAGAAATAAATTGACATATTAGAAATGGCTATGCAGAAGATGAACCAGAGACCAAATTGCAAACATGCGCTGGATAATGGAGAAAGCTAGAGACTTCCAGAAAGACATCTACTTCTGCTTCATTGACTATGCAAAAGCCTTTGACTGTGTTGACCACAGCAAACTATGGCAAGTTCTTAAAGAAATGGGAGTGCCAGATCACCTCATCTGTCTCCTGAGAAATCTCTATGTGGGACAAGAAGCTACAGTTAGAACTGGATATGGAACAACTGATTGGTTCAAAATTGGGAAAGGAGTACAACAAGGCTGTATATTGTCTCCCTGCTTATTTAACTTATATGCAGAATTCATCATGCGAAAGGCTGGGCTGGATGAATCCCTAGCTGGAATTAAGATTGCAGGAAGAAACGTCAACAGCCTCAGATATGCAGATGACACAACCTTGATGGCAGAAAGTGAGGAAGAATTAAAAAACCTTTTAATGAGGGTGAAAGAGGAGAGTGCAAAATATGGTCTGAAGCTCAACATGAAAAAAATGAAGATCATGGCCACTGGTCCCATCACCTCCTGGCAAATAGAAGGGGAAGAAATGGAGGCAGTGAGAGATTTTACTTTCTTGAGCTCCATGATCACTGCAGATGGTGACAGCAGTCACAAAATTAAAAGACGCCTGCTTCTTGGGAGGAAAGCAATGACAAAGCTAGACAGCATCTTAAAAAGCAGAGACATCACCTTGCCAACAAAGATCCGTATAGTTAAAGCTATGGTTTTCCTAGTAGTGATGTATGGAAGTGAGAGCTGGACCATAAAGAAGGCTGATCACTGAAGAATTTATGCTTTTGAATTATGGTGTTGAAGGAGACTCTTGAGAGTCCCATGGACTGCAAGAAGATCAAACCTATGCATTCTGAAGGAAATCAGCCCTGAGTGCTCACTGGAAGGACAGATCGTGAAGCTGAGGCTCCAATACTTTGGCCACCTCATGAGAAGAGAAGACTCCCTGGAAAAGACCCTGATGTTGGGAAAGATGGAGGGCACAAGGAGAAGGGGACGACAGAGGATGACATGGTTGGATAGTGTTCTCGAAGCTACCAGCATGAGTTTGACCAAACTGCGGGAGGCAGTGGAAGACAGGAGTGCCTGGCGTGCTCTGGTCCATGGGGTCACGAAGAGTTGGACACGACTAAATGACTAAACAACAACAACATGCAGAAGATAGAGGATCACAGAGGGATTCCAGTCATATAAATTGGGAGGCTAGACTGATGGGGACAGGATGACATGCAGACAGAAGTGGCTCAAACTCTCCCTGCACCTTTTTCCATCCTCCCACTTATAATATTTATAATGAAGAAATAAAGCTAGAGCACAGGGACTAAGTGAAGAATGTGGGAGTCATGATAGATGCAATGGCAGCCAGAGCAATCTGGGCAGTAAACACTGAGAAAGCATCTCAGGACTCTATTGACACAGTGGGAGGATGGATGAGATAACTATTAAGGCACCCAGGGCGGCAGGACTTTTCTTTTTGCCTATAAAGCAAACAGTGGCAGCATCTGAAAACTCTCGGTTTGATTTGTCTGGGTTTCCATAGCACTCTCTTTCTGCCTCTGGTGACTAAAATATTCCCATTTGAATCAATAGAGTCTTTGCTTCCCTTGAAAATATGCCCACTGCTCATTTCAGTCAAGTCGTTTCTATCCATCAAGTCAAGTAGTTCCATCTCTGAGCTCATGACACTTAAATTTCCTACAGATGAGGTGGGATAGTAAAAAAGAAAAAAGGAGGGGGAGGGAATTGGTCTTGGAATCAAAACTATATGAGTGAAGAGGTCTGAGCTGGATTTGATGCTATTGGTGGACAATGTTTGTGTGTGACAGAGAGAGAGATGTGGAGAGAGACAGGGTGAGCAAGAGTGTTTACACTAGGGATTGGGTATCTATGACCCCTGACCATTCATTGATGGACTATAGCATCCCTGATCTTTGGCAGTTCTGGCTGGAGGTGATGGGATATGGGAGGCCAACAAAATCTGGAGGGCCAAACATTCTCCATCCCTGGTTTACAGAACAAATATGGATGTTTGGTGAGCTGGGTCTGAGAACAGATACATGTAGCATGTTCTTCCAATGGAAATGTATGTTTACCATTAGGATGGCGTCCTGAAGTTGCATAAAGCGTGTACTCCATCATCTAGGGATATGCAAGATGCCTGGGAAGAAGTGCTTGAATTGAAGGAGGTCCTTCACTGCTATTTCTTTTTCTCCCTTCAAAAGCGTGCAGAGGAGGAACTGCCAAGAGTGACACTCTTTCCCACTTTGTCTTTCATATCTATGCACTTTTCAATACTCAGATTAATTCTACTGGAGCTGGTCCACACACACTAGAGAGAGAGAGAGAGATTGAGAGATCACTTGTAGATGCAAAGTGAGTGGCTGTGCACCTACTTTCTCTTTTTTCAGGTTCTCTGGGGTGGGGAGGCTTATCACAGGGGACAGAGGGGGGCACCCATGTCTTTCACACAAAATTCCAAATGTGGACATGGGTTGAAAAAGATTAGCATTGCCTATCCTGTGTTGTTATGGGACGCAGGTGGCGCTGTGGGTTAAACCACAGAGCCTAGGACTTGCCGATCAGAAGGTCAGCAGTTCGAGTCCCCACAATGGGGTGAGGTCCCGTTGCTCGGTCCCTGCTCCTGCCAACCTAGCAGTTTGAAAGCACGTCAAAGTGCAAGTAGATAAATAGGTACCGCTCCTGCAGGAAGGTAAACGGCGTTTCCGTGCGCTGCTCTGGTTCGCCAGAAGCGGCTCAGTCATGCTGGCCACATGACCCGGAAGCTGTATGCCGGCTCCCTCGGCCAATAAAGCGAGATGAGCGCCACAACCCCAGAGTCAGCCATGACTGGACCTAATGGTCAGGGGTCCCTTTACCTTTTATCCTGTGTTGTTGGCATCCATCCATCTCAAGAGACAGTGGAGTACACTTCCAGGGGTGAAGTTAAAGCTCTGCAATAGCAGCACCAAGTGATCTCCCTGGGGTGCAAGCCTGGGCAGTGTGTATGGAGGTCCTAGATTGCCCAGATGACAAGACCCCTCTCTCAGCCTTGCTCATGTGGTCCAAAGGAAAGCAGAACAATACGTTTGGCACCAGCTTGGCTGCAGGAATTGTCAGGAGGATGCATACAAGATTCCCCCCAACTGTCTTTGTAACTCCACTCTGGATTTGTGTAGGGTTTACTCAGTAGCCTTTTTCTCCAGAAGGCAATGGAAGTTTAGGATCAGAGTTTTCCTTCTTTCTCCTAGATGGGCTATCTTCCCAGGTTGATGAGCCCCATTTGCCCCTCACTTCCCTCTACACAGCATGTGCAGAAACCTCCTCCTTGACTGTTGAACCCACTGTTAGTCTTGTCCACCAGAGCCTGTCTTTGCATGCAGGGGAAGCTCCTAATTCACTGAAGGTTTGAGACCCATCAGCTACCCTCACTTGGTTTAGCCGGCCAGTCAAAGCCATTCCCAGGGTGTGGCTGCTGTCACATGCTGACAGCTTCTAGGAGCCACAAGTGAGAGCTGAGTACAAAAGTGGACAAAGTACCCCAGAAGGAGCACAATGTATGTCCCCCACCAGAGGTCCTACTCCTCCCCTAACACCTTCTGATATTAGCAATGTCTCAGTTCAGTTACAGTTCCTCAGCATTTCCATGCATGGAAATTTTGCCCACATACCTCTGTGGTTTAGGAAGTTTTTAGCTAGTTGTTCCACATGAGATCACAAGAATATCATTTTTAAAAAACGACAAGAGAGTATTTGCTGAATAAAAGTACCAAGGAAAAAAAATGTAGATTCTGGTAAGCTTCCCACAGTCTTGGAACACAATTACCTATGAATAAAAATCTGAATTCCACAGTGGGCCCCAAAATCTAGTAAAGTTGTGAGTAAGAGAAATGCCTGAGTTGCTATTCCCCTCGGCGTGACACTTTTGATCAATCCAAGACTTCCAGTTCCTGGGACTGACAGTTTAGCATTAAGTTAACTCTGAATGAATGAATTGAATTAGCCAGTCCCTTTGTGGAAAGATGGAGGATTCTTGAGACATTGCTTCATGGGGTATTGAGAAAAGGCAGCTCATAAACCAGCGAGGAACTTCACGGTGGCGAGCACAACAAAGCCCAGAGCACAGGCTTTTGCCTGTCGTTGCTTTGCAGCAAAGACAAGCAAGTCAAAATTTTTAGCCTTCTGTCGTTCCACCAACAAATTAAAACTAATTGAATGATCCCCACCATTCATGAAAGGTCCGTGATTGTTCCTCGCGATTGTTCCGAGAAGTGCCAGCTCCCACAAAGCCGCCTTTGTCATCATTAATACAAAACCGCCCTGCGCACGCTCTTCCTTGCAGAGATAAAGAGGGAAGGGGGAGAGACAGAGAGAGAAAGAGAGAGAGAGAGAGAGAGAGAAGACACAATTTGTTATCAGGTTTAGAAGATGCAATTGGAAGGATGATTATAATATCATCATCTGGGTTTCAGCTGTCCCTGCTCATTCAGACAGGCAGGCTGAAATATGAAGTGACAAAACACACAGAAACCCTTCATTCTTGTTTGCACACAAACATTTCCATAACTAGCAATTTTGTGGAAAGAGACTCGGGGGGGGAGGAAGAAGCATAAATGGAAAGAGGGTGGAACAGATATTAGACTCAATAGGGCAGTTTAACTGTTACTATAACAGCATAGCGGCTTTGCATGAAAACAGCAGATTTCAGAAGAGGCCCAAAGGGGTTAAAATGATGCATTTCTTTGTTCCCATTGTTGATCTCAGACATTTTTTTTTTGTATATGCTCTCTCTACCCCCCCTCCTTTAATATAGCCATAACATTACATTAATTCATCTAACACATGCCATGCCACGAAGTTGCTCTCTCTTTCTCTTAATTATTGTGATCAAAATATGGCTTCAAATGGAAGGCAGCTGCATTTGTATCCGTCAGATATCATAATTGCGACCGTAAATTGGGAAACAGAACATTTCCTGGTGTTTTGCCGTGAGTAATGGGACCAGAATCATTATGGATGGAGGGATATAAATAAACTGGGGCAGATCTATAAAACTAAGGAAAAGCAAGTTAAAAGGATAATTACTGGAGCAAACAGGAACAGTGTAAATGCAGAACAAGGTGATATTTCATTGCACAGTCAAAATTCCCTTTAAATCAGGGGTAGGGTATATCAGGACCAGGGGGTGAATGTGGTCCTCCAGGTATTTCTATGGCCCCTGGATCAAATAACCTCTCCCTAGGCCACCAGCTCTACTCTGTGTCTTTCTCATTCTTTGCCTGGCTGGAAAACGTATACCCTGCAAATAAAGTGTACTATTTAAGTGCCTTGTTTTTCATAATAGCTCTTTATATTGTGTGTTCAGACGACATGCCTTTCCCATGACTGAATGGAGGATGGACAGGAGTGTGTGCTAGAAACCTCCGGCTCTTACATGGACAGAAGGAACACAATTTGCCATTATGTTCAGTGATGCCTACGCTGATCGGCAGCAGCTCAGACAGAGAATGATTCTTCACCTGATATTTTTAACTGGAGACCCAGGGACTTTCTGCATGCAGATCAAGTGCTAATGGATGGCTCCTCTGTGTTGGGGTAGGTATTCAGGGTAAAGTCAAAGGCACTCTGTACATGTTCAGGGGCAGAGGTATTTCATATCAGCTGCCCTTTGATTCATCTAATGGTAGATGCTGGGGCGTGAACTTGGGACCTTTTGTGGGCACAGCAGGTGGTCTCCTACTCAGCTGAAAGATCTCCTGTCTTTTGGTAACAATCATCCTGCAAAGCAAAAAAATGTGTGCTCTTTTGAGCATGAAAAGACTGAGCCAGGCTAGCTGGAAGTATTGACGAGAAAACAAGGGGTGGAAATTAACAAAAGCTTAACAATCATTTATTTCCTTTTGTTTGTTTTGCTTTTCAATTTCCAGAACTGGAGAAGAGCCAGACTAGCAGCAGGGACTATCTCTGGGCCTGGAAAGATAGCAAGTAATTAGAGCACATTCAGATCGAGAACATCAACAAGTTTGGAAGCAGTGGCAGACCGTGGGGTCTCAAATTTCAGCAGCACCATGTTCAACACCAAAATTCTCTCTCTCACCCCCCTCTTGCCTTCCATTCTACACCAGAATTGTGGCACCCTTTGGCATGGGTGTAGCCAGGATTTATGTTGGGGGGCGGGACAGCGCAAGACACTCTGCCTGGCTCTGTCTAGCAGATTCAGAATGAAATGTCTCAACAGCAGTTCTTTTCAATTCTTTCTTTTGACCCCAAGTGCTCAGAAAAATCTGTCAAAATCTTTCTACAATTTCTACTTGTAGTTAAGTATTTTTATTTATTTACTTGAATTACGGGGGGCAACCGCCCTCCTTCCCCCAGCTATGCCCATGCCCCTTGTGGCACCCCTAAGGGTCTGCACCCAGTGCAACCAAGCCGGTCACACTCCCCTAAATCCTCTTCTGTTGGGAGGAATATCAGGCATCCTTTGGAAGGATTCAGTCCACAGGATGTCCGAAAAGCAAACTGTAATTGTGTGGGCAGGGGAGGAATAAGGGACATAGAACAGACTAATTACCGGCTGAATCACAGTGCTGGGGGTGGAATTTGAAAAAGAAGGTGCACTGTGGAGTGAAATAGATCTTAGGGGCATGCTCAGTTGGGCATTTGTGATCTCTTTGGAAAGGCAATGCAGAACACTTGTTTGCTCATTCATTAGCTGTGATTCCAGCTGTGGCTCCCCACCAGGGCCACCAGTGGGATTCTGCCAACAGGGGAGAAGCTATTGCTCTTCTCACCCACTCTTGTAACATTGCCTAAACAAAGAGCTTCAACACCTGCTTTTCAGTAGCATTGTACATGTCCTTTTCCAGCCCAGGTGCAAGACTCTTGTGTGTGAAGAGAACTGACATCAAGCAAGAGTCTTCCAGTTAGCAGGTTCCAGGCAACGTGAGGAGGGTGTTGTGTTCAGAAGGCCTTGGAATGCATGAAGCGAGGCTTTGTGTGGCCCAGGGACATTGTTAGCTGTGCTAAGCTTTTTCCTGCACACAGGGCCACAGTGGTGGCAACTCCTCTGCCTGGTCATTGCCCCTCAGTTTCCTCAACATGGATACATGAGATTGTGGAAGTAATTCTTCATGGGTAAATCAAGCACACACACAAAAAAAGCAGGGGGGAGCATGCACAACCCCCAAGATACACTGAGATAAGGTAAAGGTAAAGGACCCAGTTAAGTCCAGTCAAAGGCGACTGTGGGGTGCGGCACTCATCTCGCTTTCAGGCTCAGGGAGCCGGCGTTTGTCCAGCTTTCCGGGTCCTGTGGCCAGCATGATTAAACCGCTTCTGGCGCAACAAAACACTGTGACGGAAGCCAGAGTGCAAGGAAATGCCGTTTACCTTCCCGCTGCAGCGGTACCTATTTATCTACTTGCACTGATGTGCTTTCAAACTGCTAGGTTGGCAGAAGCTGGGAGAGAGCAATGGGAGCTCACCACCATCACGGGGATTCGAACTGCCAACCTTCTGATCAGCAGGCCCAAGAAGCTCAGTGGTTTAGACCACTCCCTACAACACTGTGACATATTCAGCTCTGGACTCATAATAACACAAGAAGAGCCTGCTGGATCAGGCCAGTGGCCCATGAAGTCCAGCATCTTGTTCTTACAGTGGCTGACCAGATGCCTATGGGAAACCCGCAAAAAAGGGTCTAAACACAAGAGCATTCTACCTTCTTGTGGTTTCCAGCAACTGGCATTCAGAAGCATTACTGCCTCTGACCACGGAGGCAGAGTTTAGCCATCATAGCTAAGAGCTATTGGTAGCCCTCTTCTCCTTAAATTTACCTAATCCTTTTTTGAAGTAATCCACGTTGGTGGCTGTCAGGGGTTCAGGGACAGAGGCACAGGGTAGGGAGGAGATGGAGAGCGATGGGGATGAATCCCAGGACAGCGAGGAAGAGGATGACAATGACTCAAGAGATTCCATGAGTCTTTCCAGCGAATCAGAGGATTCCCAGAAGGGGGCGCCAGTGGTCAAGGCCAGGGGAGCCCCAGGGGGGACGTGTCAGGAACAGGGGGCCAGCGGGGATCCCAAAGTGGCAGCTGGGCGTCAGGACCAGCCTCCCCGCCAGAGTGCAGCGAAGGGGGTGGAGGTTCCAGTGTATCAGGGGAAGCAGCTCCGGCAGCAGAGAAGGGAGGGAGGTCGGAGCAAGCCACCCTCCCGGAAGGGGAGGGGAGTAGTGAAGGGAGTAGTGTAACTGTCAAAAGGAAAGTTAGAGGTTGGGCGCGCGCGCCAAGTTCAAATGTAGAGGCGCGCGGAAGTACAGGGAGCCCGGAGGAAGAGCCAGGTCCTAAAGCCCGCAGGAGGGGGGAAGAGCAGTCGGGGGATTCCGCGTCAGGGGAATCCAGGAGGGGCGAAACCCCAGCGGGCAGGAAGACCCTGAGGAAAAGGAAAGAGAGAAAGAGGTGGAGCAGCGCAAGCTTCTTAAACTGGTGCAGGGGAGGGACTGACTCAGAGGGGACTTCAACGGTCTAAGCGTAACAGACGTGGGGCTGCGCGCCTCGGATGTGAAGCAAACAATGAACTCCAATAAACACTTTTGTATATAAGAAGAGATTGGCGTTGGTCTTTTGTGAGCTGAGACCTGAGGCAGCCCTGACAGTAAGTCCCCTCTCCTAGAAACCGCAAAATTTTTTTTTTTTGCAAAGCTCACGAAGTTTGGCAGACATGACTACTGAGGAGCAGATAACGTCCCTGCAAAACGCAGTCGCCGAACTCTCCGCTGCGGTAGTGGTCTCTCAGAAGACAGTTGCCGAAGCAGAAGCGCGATGCCAGGATCTGCAAGCCAGGTGGGATCATGCGTGCAAAGAGGGGTTCCCGGGGTCCAGATCAGAGGGAATCGGACTCGGACGGAGGGGGGGCAATTTAGTGGCCCACTTCGATGGAAACCTGAAGCATTATCCCAGTTTCAAAGCAGACGTCGTATACGCGCTGCATTTGCTTCGGAAAGACTTCAAAGATGAGGAGGAGAAGGTAGGCTTTATTGTGTCCCACTTGCATGGGGAAGCTAGAGCCTGGTTACGCAATTTGTGGCGCGAAGATGGTCCTGCCCGCAGCAACTCTGACGAATTTATCAAAGCCATGGACGCTTGCTTCCAATCTACCGTTGACGTTGATGTGGCGCGCCGGGAGATGCATGGATTGCGGCAGGGCAAGGCTACAGTGCGTCAGTACCATTCTCGCTTTTTTGCATTGCTCAATGTGCTGGGCTGGGAAAAGGACTCACTGGCAGTGAGAGACTTGTTCTGGGAGGGGCTTCATGGCTCCGTAAAAGATGAGTTGGCCAGGGGGGACAGACCTCAAACCCTAACAGATGTCGTGCAGAGGGCACTCACGATAGGGGTGCGCCACGAAGAACGCCCTTGGCACAGTGAGGAGGGGCGCCAAGTCCGTGCACCAGCTAGAGCGCCTCCTTTTCTTCCCAGGGACCTGGGACGTACGCATCCCTCGCCTCTGCTGAGGGAGGGGGAGGAACCAATGGAACTTGGTGGTGCAAAGGCTCAGACAGCTGCCGGAGCCTCAGCGTCCGGAGCAGTCAAGGCGAAGCCTCCTAGAGGGACCAGGAAGTGTTACATCTGTGACAGTGCACAGCACATGGCTAAAGAGTGTCCCCAGAGGCTCCAGAAGCACACTGCAGCTTTAGCGACAGTAACAGGGGAAGCGCTTCAAGGAGAGCAGTTTCAGGGAAACGACAATGCCTGGCTGGAAGCAGACATGCTGGGGCTCAGCCAGGCAAGTCACTGAAGCAGTCCCCAGCGCTTTTGCAGCCTACAAACCCCTTGCCACCCAAGCCAGTGGTGCAGCTCACTGCTACTCTCCAGCTACCTAATGGACTCACACTGGAAGTCCCCATTACAATTGACTCAGGGAGCAACGCAGACTTCGTGGGGATGCAGTTCATCAAGCAGCATCGCATAGCGCTTCTACCAGCCACGCTGCCTCTGAACGTCGTCACGGTAGATGGCAGGAAGTTGCTGGGCGGGCAAGTGGTACAACAGACGCCACCCATGCTGCTGAAGATTGGGAATCATCGCGAGGTCATCAGTTTCAACGTCACCCGACTGTCAGACACGCCTATAGTGTTAGGCATGAGTTGGCTGGATAGACACAGCCCATCATTAGCGTGGTACCAGCGGCAGCTCACCTTTGGCTCGTCCTACTGCGCACAACATTGCATCCAGACCGGCCAGGAGGAGGAGGGCCAGGAGGAAGGGCAACAGTTGCATCTAGGCATGGTGCAGGCAGTGCCCCACAAGTACAAGGGGTTTTGGAGGTCTTCTGCGAAAAGGAAGCTGACCAATTACCACCCCACCGGCCCTACGACTGTGCAATTGACCTCTTACCAGGGCGACGCTGCCGACTGCGAAGCTGTATTCCATGTCTGAAGATGAGATGCAGGAACTCAGGGAGTTCATAGATCACAATTTGAAGCGGGGATTCATCCGAGAATCCAAGGCAGTGGGGGGCAGTCCTGTGTTTTTCGTGAAGAAGAAGGACACGCCCCAAAAAAGGCTCATTGTGGACTATAGGGCCATAAACTCGATGACAAAGCCCAAGGCCTTCCCCATGCCCAAAATTGACGACCTGCTCGCGACGGTGAGGAAGGGGAGGATCTTCACCAAGTTGGATCTACGCGGAGCATACAATCTAATACGCATGAGGGAAGGTGACGAGTGGAAGACGGCCATGTTCACACCGCTGGGCACCTATGAATACAGAGTTATGCCGTTTGGTCTCCAAAATGGCTCCCACTGTTTCCAAGCCTTCATGCACCACGTGCTAGCAGGACTCCTCTACAAGAAGTGCGTATGCTTCCTCGACGACATTCTGATCTTCTCAGAATCGCAGGAGACTCACGAGAGAGACGTAAAGGAGGTCCTGCAGAGGCTACGGGAGCACAGACTCTACGCCAAACTGGAGAAGTGCCAGTTCGACGTGACGGAGGTGGATTTCCTGGGCTACCGGCTGTCTGACAAGGGCCTAGCCATGGACAGCGCCAAGGTCCGCGCGGTGTTGGACTGGAATAGCCCGCGCAATCGGAAGGAAGTCCAGAGGTTCGTCGGCTTCGCCAACTTTTACCGCAAGTTCATCAGGGGTTTCGCGAAAGAGACGGCAGCTATCACGGACACCCTCAGTTCCAAGAAGAAAAAGTTCACATGGACGGACCAGGCGGAGCAGTCCTTCAGGAGACTTAAGAGCCTCTTCGCGTCCGAAGAA